TCTTAGACTTCAAAGCCCATATTAATGAAATTGATTCTACTTTCATAGAACTGATTATCTGATATATAGAAAATATTTGGTGTAATAGAGATAAAGTTCTTTCAAAATATATTCTCAATTGGTTTTCATATCTTATACAATATCCTGACAAAAAACCTGGTACTGTTTTAGTATTACATTCTTCTCCATGCTCTGGAAAAAATATCTTAACAGATTTTATTGGAAAGGAAGTATTGGAGCCAGAATTATTCTTCACAACATCAGATCTTGGAAAAGTATTAGGAAGATTTAATAGTTGTATACAAGGATGAAAACTTATCCTTTTAAATGAAGCTAGAATGGCTTCTGGAGAATGGTATAAAGCAAATGATCATTTAAAATTACTTATTACCAAACCATATGTAACAATAAAGTGTAAAGGTCTTGAGCCTAAAACAATTAAAGACTTTGCCGGCTATATGGTTTAAGTAATCATGATACACTGCTTCACGTTAAGATGAGTGATGGTTATATAGTATACCTGGATGTATCACCTCACTATAAAGGAAATATAGATTATTTTAAATAACTTAGAAAAATTTTAGATAATCCAAAAACGCCTAGTATTTTCATGAATTATTTATAAAGCGAGACCTTTCAGATTGGATACCACAAAACATCCCTAATACAAAAATGAGAGTAGAAACAATACGAGATCAACTTCCTAATCCTATTCGATTCATAATCAATTATGTTTTCTCATGGGCTGAAGAAAAGATTAAAAAACCAAACTGTGCAGAATTATATCAAGAATATCTTAAATGGTGTGGAAGAAATGGAGAGAAACCATTTAGTAGTGCTATTCTTGGAAAGAAGTTTTCACAAATTGGTATTGATAGAACGTGTTTGCAAAATAATGAAAAAAGAGAATACCATTACATTCTTGACTACACCAAAATCATAGCTAAGCTACATGAATCTGGCCTAGGTGATATCAAAGAGTTCTCTGATACATCTCAAGCAAACCTACCTGCTAATAAAACTATAGACATACCTATATTCAATGTGCCAGAAATTATTTCTCCAAAAATAATACCGCTTCAGGCAAAAAAGAATCTCTCTCTTAGTGATAAAAAAGCAGATAAACAAAAAAATCTAACCCAAGCTCTATTCGACTATATGATAGAAGAAGCCAAAGCACCAGTTGCTTCAAAATCTGGGACTTTTAAAACTTCTAAGACGTCTAACCTATCTGAGCCAAAAATTGTTAAGCAGTCTCAAAAGGACCAGCTCGAAACTAGCAAGCTTCCCGAACCTATTAAGCTTATAAGTAGAGTGGTGCCTGATATGCCTTCTAAAGAAACTGATTCTTCTAAGCCTATTAATGAAGTATCATTTGCCATACTTCTGAGTAGGACCCAATGCGAAGAGTGTCTCAGAAAAAGAGCATTCGAACTTGGTGAGGATCCCAATATATTTGTAACTATCACAGAAAAAGATAGGCTCGATTCTATTGCATTCTGGGATAAAATGGAAACTGATGCAGAAATGTGTGCTTGGGCCATAAAGTTAGAGGATGATCCTAATCAGTATATAGACATATCAGTATAGGAAAGATTAATAGGAGAAAAAAAAATCCGTCATGATCTTGAGAATAAGGAAGTTATATCTTCATGGCTTGATACCAATAAGAAATGACAAAAAAATATAAGCATACTCCAGGAAAATGGTATGCTTTAGT